GTGTAATACTGTAACACTTCTTTATTAAATGAAACCAAAGTACATATTGACTCACTTCCTATTAGGTGTACCGGCTTCAAATCAATAACCCAAATCACCACTTTCTGGCGTTCCCTGTACAGCTAATACAAGGGAAACATCATACTCATAAGAAATATATTATTATATTAAACTAATATAAAATCAAAAAATTCTTATAATACCCAATGAATAGTAAAAATTAAACTAAAATTGAAAAAAAAAAAAATTATCTTAACATAGAATCATATATATATATTACCGAAGAATGAACAATCAAATGAAACCAAATCCTAAACAATCTTAACATATTGCTATTGTATTGCTAAAAATTTAGTATACATCACTGAGAAATCAATAACATAAAATAATAATATAATAATATCAAATGGGACCAAATTCTGAACAATATGGACACTTTGCTATTACTTCTCCCCAGTCCCAAGATGCATAATATTTTAAATTACCAATTTGAAAAAAAAAACAGTTCAAATCTATATCTACATTTAACCCCTTAGGGGCTAAAGTATCCAATCTAAGGATCCACCTAGTTTCATTCTGTGAGATTGCTTTCCTTAAATCTCCTCCTCGCCAATGAGATGCAATCTTATCTATCCCACAGAATCTCAAAAGAGATGGATCCCTATTATGGAAATTCCTGAAATGATGAGAAAGGCTATGGTGTTTAAAACCTTTGTTCCAGTGATTTATCAATTACCAAACATTCATAAGAACCAAAGAAAACCACCAGGAGGACCTAAAATGAGTGGTGTTGACTCTTTGTTTGCAAGGATGCGTGAATACTTGGACAAATTTATCCAACCCCTTGTCCAGGAACTTTAGGCTTATCTTAAGGATAGTAAAGATCTTCTAAGTATACTGAGGGCGGTGAATACTGAGCATAAATGTGTCATGGCAAGTGTAGATGTAAACTCTTTATATACAAATATTAGACATGATGATGCTTTGGAAGCAGTGGCGTGGTCCTTGCAGAAAAACACCCAATTGAGGAATAGACAAAAAGATTTTTTGATACACAGTTTAGATCTAGCTACGGGTCCTAATTTTTCCTGGCCTAATGGTAAATTCTACAGACAAAAGACAGGAGTTGCAATGGGAGCAACGTATGCTCCCTCAGTAGCTAATCTTTTGTGTGAGTAAATAGGAACATTAATTGATTTATATGTGAATAAGAGACCAGAGTTGAGGCTCTATAAAAGATTTATTGATGATATCTGTATTAATTGGGAGGGAACTCAGGAATCTTTTGAAGGAATGGAAAGGAAGGAAATGGGAATGAATAGGTGAAAAAGAAGAAAGGAGATGAATATGGGGTAGCATTCATCACAGGAGTTTCCAAACAACATAAGTTAGTTAAAACATATTTAGGAAATATTGGCCGATTCTTTTGCAGGATGACATACTAATCATTTATACAAAACCACCCACTCTTAGAAATAAGCTTTTTAGAAATGTTCCTGATCCTCCCCATAAAAAAAAATATTTTTTTAGATCAAGTAGCTTTTTTTAAGTTGTGGCAGATGTCTAGTGTGTAAGACAATAAGGAGCAAAAACAAAAAAAACAGTACATTTTTAATCTCATGTTAAGGGAGAAGCCTTCAAAATTAAAAAAATGTATTTCATGTGCAAGTACTCATGTCACCTATCTTTTAGAATGTCCTTGCAAATTACAGTATGTAGGGAGAACCACTAGGAAGCTTGCTGTACATCTTAGTGAAAATATTAGAACTATCAAAAAAGGTTTTAAACACCATAGCCTTTCTCATCATTTCAGGAATTTCCATAATAGGGATCCATCTCTTTTGAGATTCTGTGGGATAGATAAGATTGTATCTCATTGGCGAGGAGGAGATTTAAGGAAAGCAATCTCACAGAATGAAACTAGGTGGATCCTTAGTTTGGATACTTTAGCCCAAGGGGTTAAATGTAGATATAGATTTGAACTGTTTTCTTTCAAATTGGTAATTTAAAATATTATGCATCTTGGGACTGGGGAGAAGTAATAGCAAAGTGTCCATATTGTTCAGAATTTGGTCCCATTTGATATTATTATATTATTATTTTATGTCATTGATTTCTCGGTGATGTATACTAAATTTTTAGCAATACAATAGCAATATGTTAAGATTGTTTAGGATTTGGTTTCATTTGATTGTTCATTCCTCGGTAATATATATATATGATTTTATGTTATTAAGATTATTTATTTATTTTCAATTTTAGTTTAATTTTTATTATTCATTGGGTATTATAAGAATTTTTTGATTTTATATTAGTTTAATATAATATATATTATGAGTATGATGTTTTCCTTGTATTAGCTGTACCGAGAACGCCAGGAAGTGGTGCTTTGGGTTATTGATTTGAAGCCGGTACACCTAATAGGAAGTGAGTCATGAAGGTGGGAGGAGTGGTTGCCGGGTATATCTTACATGCAGGAACTGGAGATTGTTTTCTGTGAGAACGCTCTGGAGGAGGGGGTGAAATGCATTGATGTAATTTCCGGTTCCGGCTAGGGCTTTGTGACGGCACTTCCAGTGAGTGGAGAGCACGCTACGAATGGTGCTCCGAAGCTATTGTTGACTATTAAGCACTGCATTGATGTGGGAAGTCACAGAGCATATGCCATTTTAAGGCCTATATATTTTTTATAACATGTGAGTGCAATATGTACTTTGGTTTCATTTAATAAAGAAGTGTTACAGTATTACACTATTAGTGTCCCTCTTGTTTTTGCATCTCTTCTGCCTGCTTGAGCATTGTTGGACAGTATTGAGCAAGTATTCCCATTCTGAATCCTGGTTATTTCTGAGAACACACTTCACCAGTAAAAGTCTTGTTGACTCTTAAGCCTTACAAGCTAAGAGTCCATCAAATCTGGTGAGTGTGGATTGTACTGGAAGGTGATCACGGAGCACTGTGTGGTGATATCATTTAAGGAACAGATTTCGTTTTGGCACAGATTTTTTTGATTGGAGCACTTAATCACCGTTTTTTGGGGACAGTGGACTTTATCACTATATAAAAAATATTTTGTATATTTTTTATTTTTGCGCTGTGTTATTGATTGTATTCATGTGTTATGGTGTTTTTACCTTATGAGCAGCAGCATTAATTATTTGAGTTTATGATTTGTCACACAAGCGAGGGTTATTTATTGTTTTAGTTTTAGTAAATGACATACATTGCAGTTATAACACTTGTAACATCCCATCTTAGAAGAGATTCTGGACTGGACCTTAGAGTATTTGTTTCTAAGATCAGCCTGTACAAGATGGTCTCGTAAAACCTTGTTGCGTTTGTGTGCGACCAAGGGCATCACGCTGAGGCCAGTTGCTAGGGAGAAATTCACCTGTAAAATATTGAGGTTGTGCTTTATGGCCAATTTAATCATCTCATACTCACAATTAAAAGTGTAACATACCGGGTGATCGATCAAGCCAATAGCTAAGGGACAAACAGTTAGGGTTCTGGTTAAAGCGGAATGTCACATTCTCAACCAACATTAACTATTTTTAATCCTTATGCTGTTAGCATTAGTAAATAGATAGGATCATATATCATATTTACTTGTTTAATCATTTGTTACATTTCTTCAGTTTTTTCCTGGTTTCCATGCTTAGGCAAATGATGTCATACATCCCAGGAGTTTTCCTAAGGCGAGGGAGGGGTCTAAGCTCAGCCAATGCCTGAGATAAGGGCAGCTTGACTCCAGGAAGTAAATGCTACATAAATCATCTGCCCTTACTCAAGATGACCACTACTAGAAATACCGGAGGTGGTTTTCAAAATGAATTCTCAGCAAAATAAAGCATGGGACATGGATGGTTGGGAGAGTTTGCTTTGAATATTAACAAATAAATAAATATCATTTTTGGTTTGTGGTGCTCAGATGCAGTGCAGTTCCACTTTATGGCTCTATCTAGCACCTTGGCCGGTTATCCTTGTTCTAAGATTTTTTGGTACATTTTCTGAAGTTGTCTGTTTCTGTCATCAGTATCAGAACATACGCTATATTATCTGTTTACAGCTGGTGCAACGGGGGCTCCTGACATCATTGGTTGCCATGGTGTTGGCGGCTCCCATTGACCAGCATCCTCTTGTTGCCTAGCAGGAGCCGACCGTGCTGGGCATGTGCAGCTGGCAGGACTGTATGTGATTGGTGGGAGGTTTAGTCGCCTAGCAATGGTGATGCTGGACCCCGCTAGCTGCAGACTGAGATTGGACACATCTGGTAACAGTGCCCAATTGTTTCTCTTGATGTGCCACTCATGCTGGCAGTTTTTACAGGGGGATTAGCCCTGCCACTAATGTTAATAGGCATGAAGAATGTAGACATTGTTTGCTGACTATGGTTGTTATGCTGTTTCTGGTGGGGTAGTGATGTCAGAGGGTGTATCGCCCTTTTTCTTGTGTTTGATCTGTGGATAGCATTATATATATCTTTGTCACTATATGCACGTTATCACGTGCCTGACAAAGAGGTCCTGTGCGGCTTCAAAACGTTGAACCTTTCCTTTTGTGATGTGATCATTCTTCAATAAAAATAGCTTTCTGGATGACATTGGTGATCTGTGGTGTGCTGGCAAATATCAACGTTGATCTATAATTGTTCCAGTTTCCAGCTGGATGTTGTTGTAGCACCTGCTACATTTGAGCCTGTTCCAGGAACATGTGCGATGGTAATATTGACATATAAATATGCCAATCATAGTGGTCACATGATGGGAATGTCCGCTTCCACCTCCCGCCATTTAAATCCTGTTAAAGGGCCAGGAGGTGGTGGCAGGAAGGGGTTAAAACAATGTTTTTCATTATTAATCTCAGTAGCTAACTAGTAATACAAATTTCATAAAGAAATTTAAATGACCATCTTCTTTGCTTTGACTCAATAAAGTACATGGATAATGTTGTTGTTATATGTGTAATAACCCAAGTAATGCTATCTACTTTCTCCTAAGGTATGGAGAAGCCTTATTTATGAATTCCAAACTTATCAGTGGAGTTACAGAATTTCTAAATACAGAGGAAGAATTAAATGAGGTAAAAGTATTTTTGAAGCCTATAATGGGAGGGCATATTTGCTATATATAAAGATCTGTCAAAGGAGTTTATACATATAGATACACTGCATGGATAGTAATAATGAATGCAAGTATCCCACACAAGTTTAATTTAAGCCTTTAGGTGCCATAGGGAACTAGTAAATAGTGACACACAATGAAGAATAATTAAAAGCAATATTGTTTATTACCAGATGATGAGTTAAAGAAACACAGTCTCAGGTTTAATCCTATCCTCATCAGGGTCTAGTGGCCTACAGCTATCTCATACTGCAAGCTGTTGTGATTCCAAAGTCAAACAATGTAGTAAGGTGTGTTTATTATTATACTGGCCACATACGTATATATTACAGTCTTATTTGCCAGCAACTGTATAGTGTGAAAGCTTACCTAAACACTCCTTTTAATATAGACTAAATATACTTCAGCTCAATTATGCATCACCATGTTGTACTCTCCCACAGGTGTTCCCACATATCACCATATCATATATCCCCACCAATAGCATACTGCATGTGTCATAAATAATTATTTGTGCTAATGATATGTGCAGTACATATATAGATTAAACGAAAAGAAATCGGAAAAAAATATCAAAAATACATTAAATAATAGTGACTCCTTTAAATAAACACAATATATTTGTGAATGGCTGCATAGAAGTGTCCTTATTTATACATGATTATCCTTCCATTAATCAATAAATTATATAATTCTTGAATTCAACCAGTGCTCTAAGCATCACAACAGCGTATTTCCTCCACCAACATACATATATACTCTCACCTCCAATATTTGACCTACAAAAGTTTAGGTCAAATAGCACTTTTTCCATTTAACCAGGGTTGGTATTGCCTCAAGCACTCTCTAGCCTAAGGGTCCCAGTGTAACTCAATCCATCCCCATCCTCTTAAGCCTTGCAATATATTTTCAAATAAAAAATGAGATGGTCAGTTGCTCATTCCAGCATCTGAATTCTCCTCAGGGGCTGCAGATGGACCCTTCATTTTTAGTCAGTAGAGATGAACTTTTGATTTAGTATGATGGAAGGATAGACTCAAACTCTAAAAGTTTGAGGTTCACCAAACAGGTGAACTAAATGACTATATTTGGTCTACTTGCTTACAGCACATTTAGGGCTGCTACTGCAACCAGAAGTTATTCATTTATTGTCATTATTACTGCCAAAAAAGGAATGACTATCTGGACCAACTGCTTGCTTTTTTCATATAATAAACAAGCCAGTGGATATCCTGAGTCACATCATTGACCAAATATCGTCATGACAATATTTAGTCAATTATGTCAGACGGAATCACAGGCCAGCTTGTCAGTTGCAGTGAGAGCCCATCATAAGTGTAGAATCATTGTGTGTGGGTTGTCTTGTTTTGGTGGGACATCAGTTCTTTGTTCATTGTGGTTGAAAATGGATCTACATTGCTGTATAACGTGTTTGTTGATGGTTGTACAGCATGGGAATTCCTTATTTTCAATAAAGGACTTTATGTGCAGTGTTTGTGTGTGTGTGTTTATGTACCATGTACATTGTTGTTGAATGAGAACACAGTACTAAGTACCCCTTACTTATTCACATAAGAGAGCAAGTATCTGGGGCCCCGTATTTTGTAATGGGTTTCCAGATCCCAGACCCCATAGAACTCCCCATCTATTGATGAGGAACGTGGAAAGATAGCGCTGGACGCATAGGGTTATCACACCTGTGCTGTTATTTTAAAGTATTGATGTTGATGTTGATGTAACTGATCTGGTTCCTGGTCAGGATGCTTCAACACCCCAGAGAGTCTCCACAGTTTCCTTAGCTTGTAGTGTTGTGTAACAAACGCTGATATTAAGGCTTCACACCATTGCTAAGCGGTCAATATACAACTTTATTCCGATGAAAGTTAGGGATGGAACCAAAAAAGTAGCCATTGTGTTTCGGGTGCCCAAGATTGCCCCGTTCATCAGGGCTTTATTTGAGGGCATGTGGCCTGCTATGGCTTAGGAGGGAGGGTTGCATGCATTTTACCCTGTCCTTTCCTAGCCAGCCAGGATGCATGCTCAGATAAAGACATGTTATGGATTTTGGCATGTGGTGTTACACTTTTATTGTTTTGGATTGGATCTACCCTTAAAATCTATACCAGACCAACAACAAGGATAATGGTCTGGCATGTAATTAGGGGCTACCCTTTTTTTTTTTGCATGGAGTCCTCCTTAAAATCCATACCAGGCATGCTGACTGGGTGGCCAGGAAAGGGGATGTGCATGCACCCTCCCAACTCCTGAACTATACCAGGCCATTTCCTAAAGGAAAAAATAAAAAACAGAAAAAAATGTGGAGTCATCCTGAAAATCCAAAGCAGGCAATTGTCACGGAAAAGGTCTTGTGTAGCTTTTAAGGCAAATCCCATACAAAGCAAAAAAAGGTGTGCTGTCCCCCTAAAAATATCCAAATATGCAGCCTGGTCAGACCAGAATGGGAGAGGCAGTAATCCTGCACCCCTTCTTCTGAACCATACCAGGACACATACCCTATGCCATATGTTCAGGCTTTGTGATTTTTTTTTCATCTGTTCAGCAAACTGCTTGATTTGTTCAACACTATTAGATATGTGAACCTAGATAGTTGCTAATAAATCTAGAAGACATTGTGGGGTTTATTTACTAAACCTGGTTGACTCAGAATCTTGGGCACCTGTGCATGGTAGCCAATCAGCTTCTAACCTCAGCATGTTCAGTTAAGCTTCAGCAATAAAACCTGGAAGCTGATTGGTTTTTATGCAGAAGTGGACAAGATTCTGAGTCAACCAGGTTTAGTAAATAAACCCCTGTAAGTCTGATTCTATTGTGTAGAAGCAAACTTTACCTAAATCAGTGTTTCCTAATCCTTGATGACATAATTGTTCAATGTGTAGGCAGAACTCTTGGGCTTAATTGAATCACTAGGTAATTTAATATCACCAATTACCCTTGAACAGAACAGGATCACTTTTTCTAACATACATTTGCGCGCTCTCTCTCTCTCTCTCTCTCTCTCTCTCTCTCTCTCTCTCTCTCGCTCTCTCTCGCTCTATATATATATATTATATATATATATATATAAAATTAAAATGTAATAATATAATATGCATCAAATCTTATTACACAGAATAACTTTTTGTATAACCACTATGTTGCTGCTTTTTTTCTTTACCAAGCTACCAGTTTTTTCATTTTGCTTATGCTTTATGTTTTCCATGAAACACTGTCTCCAAATAGACTCTCTCAATTCATACTGTCAAACTGACAAATAGTTTAAAATGAATATGAATGTTTTATATTTCTTCTAAATTGCTAGTCAAGTTATTTTTCTTCCTTTATCGTATTTTTTGTGTAGAACATCTGTGTATGGTTAAGCATATACTATTAATTAGGCCCGAACAGTTGATTGCAAGACATACATTCAGATTAGAGCAGAAAATAATAGCGAAAGCACTTATTGCATGTTAATTCATGGAAGGGTTTCACTTATGCTCCAGTCATTCCTAAGTAGCAATAACTGCTCCAGTTACACTGGGCTGTATCCATTAGAATTTTCTTTGTGTTTCACCGTTAATCTTTTTCGTGAAAGCCATGTAAAGGTAATCAAAACTAAAACTGCAGAATGTATTTTTTTTTATATTTATTTGAAATAATTATTCATGCATATGATGCTTACATATGTTTATACAGTATTTGCATGTACAATCTTGTGAGATCTATTTGGAATTTAGTATTAGATTTCCAGACTCTGGTGATGTAGCTTTTCTATAAGGCTGTAGGTAGGCACTGACTTCCTCACTGGTGCCTAAGCAGCAAGGTGGGTGAAAGCAAAGAAGATTGGGTGAAAGTTTTACTTTCATGAAGTACAATCTGATGTCTCATATGTTAAACAGTTTGGTTAAAAAGATTATGTAAAGAAAGAAGTATACAGAATTTTTATAATTTGGTAGTTTTTATGACACAAAACCTGCAAAGTGTACATAACAAGAGTAACCATAAGAAAAAAAAATCAGTTAAAAAAAAACATTTAAAACAGTACTAAAAGGGGGCATGTTGAAAATTCATTTTAGTAAGGGAGTGCCCTGTGTGTCCCAGCACAAAGAGAGGTACACATATAGGCAGCCCCACAGATAAATGCCCACTTCCGTAAGGCTGCATATATACATATGGTTGGAGGAAAGGGTTTAAATACTCCATTTTTAAGCACTTTCAACAGATAATTTAATCACTAAGTATGCAGCTTCTTCATCTTTGAATCCTTGTCTATGGTCCTGTTTAAGCTGGTTCCATGGCCACTTCCCCAGGATTCCTTTCAGGGTGGCTCCTTTCTCTTGCAGCATCTTATGTAGTCACCCTTGTGTGCAGGGAATACAGCTGTGTCTCACTACACTGTAAGCACCAACTTCTCCCCTCTCCCAGATTGACAGACTGGTTTATGAATGCACTGTCCCATTAACTCTTTCTTGTGAAGACTGGAAGTTCAGGGAAGCAAAACTGAAAGTACAGGAACCAGCAGCATTGAAAGTTTTAAACTTGTAAAGTGCTGGAGTAAGAATGTTAACAAATCATTTATTGGGGAATGTTTATTTTATTGTGCTTGATGTGTTTCGTTAAAAAAACTGAGGGGTTAATGCTACTTTAAGTAGCGATAAGTTGCCATCACTTTAGATGTTTGCTACTTTAAAGGCATGTAAAATATCAGTAACAAACAGATCATGCTACAAGATCGTTGTTTTATTTTACTAATTTTTACAAAATGAATAAAGGCATTGGTACCAAACCAAAAGGACATACCAGGCATATAATCTGGAATCCACTTGGCTGGGTGAACAGTATATGCAGCTTTCAGATATTATAATGCCAGTCCATAGGTCCTTCAATACTGGGTACCACTTCTACTGCATTAGGGACATGCTGGCCTCTTTTGTACCATTGCTAACATTCTTTAATTTCTTCATACATTTAAAATGAGGCATTGTGACTGCACTGTATGCCAAGCAATAACCAAAATAATAAGAAGATGACGTAAAAAATTTCTCAATATTCCAAAATGTATTTTATAGACCTGATTTATGACCTGAGTCTATGTTTAAGTGAGAGAATAAAGAGAGAAAGATTAGAGGAAAATTCACTTAGAAACCTCTATCCATATTGTCTTCTGTTCTGTATATATTATGTTATGCTTTACTCGACAGCATGACCCTAAATGTCCTGACCCTGAATGCAAAAGGGCTTAATACTCCCTATAAACTTTCACAATTGCTTTCTGAGCTACACAAACATTCCAGAAACTCAGACCACAGATTTTCTGAGGTGCATCATGAAGCAAATGCCTCCTCTAAAACTAAGATGGTCTTTACTCTTTTATCCAAACAAGTTTTATTCACACTGCTGAACTGGTGTGCAGACAAGGAAAGCCAATATTTTTTCCCTGAACAGCAATCTAGGCAATAGACTGATCACTTTGACAAATATTTCTTCAGACATGTTTTCTCTTCATTCTTGGAATTTATTCAGGGCTTCTCATCTTTGGAGGTGACCTGAATCTCCCCCTTAATCCTTTGTTGGATTCTTCCTCTGGTACCTCCTTTCTTACCAATCAAATCCTCTGCCAGATTAAACTACAGTTGACATCATTGTATGTTCCTGATTCTTGGTGTACTCTCTAACCCAGCGTCAAAGATTTTACCATTTTTTTTCTGCTCTTCATGGTAAGCACTGGAGGATCAACTATAGAAACATCTATTTCTTTCCCAAGTGGATCTGTCATATATAAAGGTTGTATCCATCTATCCAATGTTCTTGTTGGACCCCCAGCCAATTACCCTCACAATGATCTTCTCAGAAAAGGAATATGAACCCAAAATGTGGCATTTGAACCCCCTCTACTTAGTGATCCAGTGAACCTCCAAACTTTCTAGAATCCCTTACACAAATTTTTTTTGTGAAAATGACATGGCTGACACATCTGCAGTGTTAAACCCTTAAATGAGTGATGGGCAGGGAATTTGTAGTGTTTTCAGCTAAACTGAAATGAGTGCATCAAAAGCACAGTACATGTGCAAATTGATGGACTGGATCTGCTCTCACAAGCAGTCTTTGACTTCAAACACTTTGGCTTAACTCACATGAGCCCATGTTATGAAGGCTTGGGCTTGAAGAGCAGAAGGAATTTTTTGCTAAAACACAAACTGTTTTATGAACAGGGCAGCAAATCTGGGAAACTCTTAACTCATTCCCTGTAGCAGTCACTTTCTAATATGACAGTACATGCTATTCACGACAAAGCAGGTGTAAATATAGGAATGCCCTGAACTATGCTCAACAGATCTGTGATTATTATGCTCAACTCTACAACCTAGCACCCTCTTCCATTAGGTCCCAGACCACTTTAGCCCATTCTCAATTGATTACAAATTCTTGGACCAGAACATGGTTAAAAAGATATCCTCAGCAGACACCCATGCCTTGGAAGGCCCCATAACCAAGAAAGAGTTCACTTGGGCCCTGAGACAAATTAGCCAAAGAAGAGTTCTAGTCTGGATGGTCTCTTGGTGCAGTATTATAAGAGTTTTCAAGGACTTCTTAGCTTTAAGATTTAATAAGACCTTCATTGTGCTGGTTGAGCATATATCTCATGTGCCCCATATGTTGGAGGCTCACATCACTGTCCTGCCCAAAAAGAGGAAGGATGAGACTTTGGTCATGAACTACCTCCCAGTATCTATACTTAGATGTATGCTAAGATTTTGGCAAATCGCTTGCTTCCCTTTATTCTTGAGTTAGTCTCACTGGACCAAGTGGGGTTTGTGCTTGAAAATGAAGTGAGGGATAATGCAATCAAGGCTCTTAACCTTCATCATTAAATGAAGTCTTACAAATTAGGGGGTTCTTTTTGTCTATGAATACAGAAAAGGTGTTCAACAGAGTGGCCTGGGACTACTTGAAGGCAGTTTTGAGATCCATTGATCTCTGAAAAATGATTTTGGTGAGAATTCTGACTCCATAGTACAAGCCAGAGTCAAAGTTAATGGCCACCAGTGCACCAATAGTGATATCAGGGAAATTCTAGTGTGAGGAAGAGAATGTAAACTTGCGGCTTTTGCAGATGACATTTTTTGTTTTTGTCTGGCAACAATTTCCAACCTTTTGCAGGACCTCAAACTCTTCCAGGACATGTCTAATTTCAAAATCAACTTCTCTAAACCATGTGTCCTTAATATTTCACTTACAGATGAGGTAGCCATGCAATGTAGGACTAATTTTCCATTTCAGTGGTTTGCGGGGGCAATTAAATATTGGGCAAAACTGCTCTAATATGACTGAGTTTACCACCCAAGCAAAAATGTTGAAAAGTAGGTTCTTAGCCAAAGTTTATGATGAATGAGAACTTGTTTGTGTGTGATCATGAGGCTTTGTTGCAAGGTAGGCAAGATAAACAAAGTGACAATAAATTTGAGCGGTCATTCTTCACCACATTCTCTAGTCAAAATTATAGTTGATTTTGTAACACTGAAGAGTGCAAAATTCGGTGCAGCTCTGCATAGACACCACTGAACTTCCAATTTTTTTTTCTTTATTGAACAAGCTGAAGTTAGAAGTTGAATGACTACTATGCACAGCTGCACCATAGTTTATACTCTACAGTGTTAGTAAATCAACCCCATTGTGTCATTAGAAAATTACTGAACATGCATTGGAATATTTTAATGAATGACAGAACTCTGGCATATGAATTACCTGATAATATTTCTATTGATTTTAGGAAAGCTCCTAGCCTCAGAAATCTAATTGCTACTAATGTAGTTGAGCAGCCTCAATTGGTTAGTATGTTTGCAGGTTTTTTAAATTATTTTTTCCTGTGTAAAAAATATTTAGTATGTATTGGGGGGGCTGTAATATAGTGAGGACCAAGCTCTTCTCTTCTCGAATAACAAAAATTGTATATAACATTACACAATTTAGTATCTGCTCTACCACTCATGTGGGTTACCTCCTGCAGTGCCCGTATGGCCTGTAATATGTTGCCAGGAACATTGAGGCTCTACAGGTGAGGTCTAAAGAGCATGTGACTAATGTTAGGAGGTGCCTTTGTGGAAACAGTCTCATTCCACTCATCATGCCAAGGACTCCTTAAGCTTAAATATAATTGGTATATATAGGTTTGTATCACATTTGTATGGAAGCAGTATGATAAGGGACATTTCACAAACTCAATTAATTTTTGCACTTAATTCATATACCCTTCTCAAATTGAATTGTTTTTTAACTATAGTTAAAATATGAACTTTGGCTTTAACAAGTTAATTTTTGTCTAAGGTTTTTATGGATTTTAGTGTCTTTAGTATTTAGAAAAATTCCACTCCCTTGATGATTGTTTTTGGATGGGCATTGAGATGTGAATTTCAATTTTTTCTACTAGATATTGCTAGTATGGTACTGGCTATTAAAGATGGATTGGGTTTGACCATAATCAGTAATTTAATTTTTTTTATTAACTATCCTTTTTAGCTATTTTTTTAATATAGGCAGTATTTACTGGAAACTGGATAATTTTCAATGTTTTTTAATTTGGCATTGGAGCGGCAACTGTACTAAAGACAGCACTGTCAACTGGCCCTGTTGGGACAATCTTCTATGATGAAGCACGTCAGATCAGAGCCTTGTGCTTACATCATCGTGCTAACTAGGAGTAGTGGTGCCCAGATTCTGGCTGATTTGTTTCTATTTTTACATTTGAAATGTGTGTGTTTTTCTTTTATGTTCATTAAGTGACTTAGCAGTTTTACACTATGGAGCTTCTGTGTTTATTTTATGCCTGACGGTTGTGCGATGCTTTGCAGAGCGGACAGTCACACTCATATCCTGAAGGCTACCCTGGTGGTTTCCGGGTAATTATATATTATCAATCCTACGGCTTCCTGGTTTTCTGTTAAGCGCACTAGATCTCTTATAGGGTGGGGGGGGGACTATCCTTCTGGTAAGCTCTTGGCATTTGCTTCAGTGGAGGAAAACTACATGAAAGAATTTGACTGTTACCTGATCACATTTTGGGTGGAATAAAAGGACTTGTGTAATTTATGATTGTTTATATGCACTTTGGTGATTGTATATGATTCAATGGATTCACTTTTTTGCACAAGTTGAAAATCTTGAAAATTATGTGTTTAAAGGTACAGCGCAACATTATTTTGTTTGTTATACAGACATTCATAACTTGGTGTCTCAGGATTCAACCCTTATAGCTTACTGTGATGATGAATGTGGAGCTCCTGCATGCTCTGGTTGCCCCTATTTTGTTACTGTATCCTCCCTCCCTTCTTCAACCTCCTTTTTTTATCTATTCCTTATTGTATTTTTCCTTTGACATAACTGTTCTGAATTGTATTGTTGTTCTGTTCAATGTTTATTTCATTCAAGTGCATTACAAATGAATATGAGTTCTTATTGTATTACCAAAAATTGTAAATAAAATATTTTTAGAAGAGGAAAAAAAAAATGTTGGGCATACTGTATATGGACATGACTGACCAGTGATTCCATGCTTTCCATACATGCCTGCAGAGTCAAACCACCGCATTTAGCTTTGTGGAAACTACAGGAGGCAGCTGGAAGACCAATTACTCTCCTCATGGAGAGATATTAACTTTAACCAGTCCTTATTACAGGAAACTGCTGCACTGAGGAAAGAATGCAGAAACGATTTCAGGCTGGATTACTGCACATATCTAAAAATCAATACCAAAAGGGCAATAGGACCAAAGTATAAAACCATACACACTTGCATTTAAATTCCGTTTGTGCATCCCAAAATATGTATTTAAGTAAAGTGAATGAAAAAATAAATAAAAATAATTATAAATTAACATATATCAATGAAAAACCACTTCTTTTTTGTGGTGAGGGATTAGAACCCATTGTCAGTTTTGTATTCCTGTTTGTATCTCTGGTGACCATTAAAAATATGTTGGCTTTATGTACATTTTAACATAAAAATGTCAGATTGTTGGAATGGTTTTGTATGCCATCTACAATGAATGCAGTTGTAATTAATAGTCATTATTTTTATCTTGTTTTTCAGCTAAAAAACTTTATACAACTCCATAAAGTAGGATCAGCTGTAGCTCCTTTGTCTAGGGCGTTGGAAACTGTAGATGCTAATGTACGATGGCAGCGACTGTACAGGGAAGAACTCTTTCAGTGGTTACGAAGAACATTGAAACAATAAACTGTGGACTGTTCTTTAAAGCATATGAAAATCTAGAGTCCTGCTTCTTGAGAAAGACCAGAATGCATGCTGTAAAATTTATTGAAAACAGCAAAATGGGGCACAATGTGCCTTTCTCTATTTTTGCACTTGGCTCTTTTTCAAACCTGAAGAAAAAATTTTTTCAAAAGAAATCACAAGAACTGTACAATTATATCCTGGCTTCCCAGGAAAAGTGTTATATACATAGAGCATGTTGATGTTACTGTATATTTTTCAACCTATATTTCTTGCATGGTTGTATAGTTGCCTGTGTCCTCCAGCATGCTTAACTTTACTGTCCAGGGTTTGTATTTGAACTGCTGTTAGATCAAGAGTGGGCATTATGCAAAAGCACAATGACTATTTATGACAATCAGTGTGATAAGGATGGAAAAAAAACATTATTCAAGATCACATGTGAGCCAGTACTGCAAATACAGTATGAATAACCTCATTGTATTCGTATACAGATTGTCTAGCAGTGATTGCTATTTCTATAAAACAACAACAAATATTTTGAGAGTTATACAATGTAATATATATATGCATATTAAAATGATTTATATTGCTTTTCTACATTGGCCAAGTCAATACTTGGGGAAAATAATGTCAAATTCAAGTGTTTTTTTCTTTAATACCTCCTAGTAACAGTGATCTTTATTAGAATTCAGAAAACACATAGCATTTGATTCTGTAATGTGTATGCATATTCCTGTTTAGTATCAGTAATTATCAAGGAGACAAAATGCTTTGGAACTTTTTTTAGCTGATACAAATCTCGGGAAGTTTCAAACTCACTAAGTTTCTGACATTGTCAGCAGGTATTTTTTTGCACTTTTGGAATCAAACAAAACATTTTCAATTGTATATTTAACAAAACAAAAGGGAGCAAATGAGAAAAGTTCACGGTTTACTGTATATTCCTACAATCTTTACAAGACTCGTCGTTTGTGATTTCACGTAAAGTGGTAGCAAACCTGCAAGTAAAGAACATAATGTGCTAGTATGCAATGCAAACTGGCACGTTATGAAAGACTTACCTGAAAACAAAGCCCTCCAGCAAAGCACTGTCATAGCTCCTTGAGGCTTCCATCTTCACCTAGTCTTCCTTCCGAGTTCACTGGCTGCGACTGTTTGACTACCAAGCCGCTGTGACATCACTCCCGTGCACATCTCAGGAATTTCGACTGTGGCAGGGCTCCCGCAATGGACGGCACACCGTCCTTTGAAGTGCAGTGCACATACGCTGGTGACATCTCCGGCGCTGCTAAAGTAAATATCTCCTAAACGGTGCACATTTGGGAGATATTTACAGTACCAACAGGTAAAACATAGGTAAAACATAAAAAACATAGACTTTACTTCCACTTTAATCTATAAGACTTATGTTTTCCCTTAATGACATTTCAGGGCACTTTTGTCATCTTAACTAGACTTGTAGCCGTGTAGAAATAGCCAAATACATTTTTGCTAGAAACGCCAGCACACATCACACAACCATTGATTAGACAAAGTATATATATTTAATTTCGGAGCCCTGTAATTCAAAGTTGTTTTCAGAAAATGTATTAACCAGTGAACTTTTGCAGCTTTTTTTTTCTTTTAACACAATCCTACAGTACACAGGTAACATTTTACTCTTTCATGCAGTGTCGTATCTGGAAAAGTAAAAGCGTAAAAATACATTTAAGTCTACACAGTACAGTTTGTTACCATCTATGAAACTTCTGACCAGAGATACAAAAAAATAAGGGATGTACAGAATAATAAAGAACATATTTAATTATTTGACAGTTTAATAAAGTTGACTATTGAATTTAAAATTACAATTAAATGGCTTTAGAACATTTTAAAGGGAACCTGCAATACTAAAAAAAATGTTTTCTACCTATGTGGAAAATACCTGAAGTGAAATATTTGTCCTCTGGTTTCTCCCCTTGCTATAAAAGAATACAGGTCAGGGTTTCCAACTAAGCCAGTGTATTCAAAATTAAGCTCTTTTTGTTCCCATGTTTAACCACTTGAGTACTAGCTCAAGTATTAGCTCTTTATTACCAGGTCAATGATAATGTGACTGACAATTATTTAGACATGCAAAATTGTACCCAAATTAATTGTGTATACTTTTTGAGACAGATAGGGCCTTCTTTTGGAGGTATTTACTAACTATTGGTTTTTATGTTTTACAAGTTTCCCTTGTTTTCTGTTAAAATAAAAATGCCAGGGCAATGCAAACACCCCCAAAATTACCTCTTTCTGGCAAGTAGACACCTCAAAGTGATCTAATTGTTTGCCACAATATTTTGGAAATGAAGAAATATGCTGCTAGTGAGGTGGTTAAAACAGAACTCCAGATAAACAGCTAAATAAATTGCTGACATGCAGATACTGTGGACTAGAAAAAAACATTGCCAGTTGCTTGAAATATTTGGTTCATGGAAACCTACTACATTTTGATAGTTCAATGTGAAGAGTTTAAAATGAAAGAAACAACTAGTGCAGTAATTGTAAAAAAAAATCACAAATGTGACTTTTTGCACAATAGAGGTCAATATTTAGTGCAATAGAGGTGTGCAGTAATGCTCTAAGAGGATGATGGCGCAAGACTGTTAACACATATGATGCCCCAATAAAACATGTCAAATGTGACAATTTGCATTCTTCAACAACCTCCAATCTTAGTTTATCTGGCCTTGTATGTCTACTATATTTCATACCAAAGTATTTGTAACTTTTGCTCAGTCATTTTTGCGATACAGACATGTAAGCTACTCATTATGATCACACTACCATTTTCTGCTTTAGCATTACTGTTTTCTGTGTCATTTGGACAGAAATGATACTAATTCATCATCCAATGAATGGGCTGGGGGCTTAAAGAGAGCAGAGGAAGGTGAATTACTGAACCCGGAAGATTAATTGCATAATCAAGAATTACATGTGTCATCTTTCTGGCTTTGCAGTATGGTAGATGTGGGTAAACCAAGGGTTGTCTGTATATTAAACATATGTATTTCAACTGTGCATTTAGCTGCTAATCTGTCTACCCACATTTTAATCATGGTTTGGCCTGAAAATTATAGCTTTAGTAAAGTTGTTCCTGGCCTACAGAAATTACCAAGCGCATTCCCATTTCTTTATAACTCAATAACAAACAATGCACACAATGCAATGCACTGTACATACAAAAAGTGGATAATGGCAAGAAAAGTAAGAAGTAAAACAAAAAAGGAATCAATTCAGAATAGTGTATATACTTGCATGCACAATTCATAACTTGTTTTACAAAAAAAACTTCTTAAAATGTACAATACTAACATAGCCCTTGAAGTATAAAGTGACTCAATACAAAGTATAAAGTGTTCAATACAGATAAAAAGAAAATATACATGGGTGGGAGTCTGTCCTTTAAGGGTTTACAGCTCATTCTATGAGACGCATATTGCATATAAAATACATGTAAATATAAAGTTTATTGATATGTATCATGAATTCAATGTGAACTAAACTGTTGTGATGTATAGTGTCCACAGAGGGATCAGTACTCTCACACTACACGTGGACAGAGGGTGTGATGTACAGATAGTGGGTGGGAAGAGGGGTTCAGCCTGGGCAAGTCTGAAAATGTGTACCCAATGTTAATTTACACTGGTGTTCAGACAGTAATATTGGAGATTCAATCCAGGTGCTCCTTGTTTCAGTGAAACTCATCTACTGGTCCTAAAGATTAGCAATTAATTTTTCCATTCTCGTATTAAGGTTCATTAGGGTTTATTTCAGCAGGTCATTCTCCTATACTGGGCACAGATGTGGACCTTCAGTGACTAGGGATCAGTGCTCTACTTGCAGAAAGATGGATTCTATGAGTAGAGAGAAGGGGTACTTCTGGGTTTTCTGTGAATTACAAATTTGTGATACATGCATTAAGATAAAAAAATAGCTTTCTAGAAGGATTTAATATGGCAGCATTGACTAGATGTGAAAACATGGTACCCTCCTCTTCCCCACATTTCCATGACGGGTTAGGTATGAAAGGGAAAATGTAATAGAGTGTAGTGAGACATCAGTACCACCTAGTCAATATAATTCTTATTATTCTTTTGCACATGGCTAGCTAAGCTTATTTGGAAACTCAGGAGGAAGATTTTCTTCCAGCCTGTATCTGAATAGGATGTCCCAATTCCTGTGCCTATCCATGGTGTACCATACCATATCATGAAGGCATTGGTTAATAACATATTATACAGGGTACAGATGATATGCTGCAAATAGCCACCTGCCAGGATGACAAGAGTTTATAGGGAATAGTTCAGACAGTGATGTGAGGTTAGAAGCCTTCAAGGCTTGCAGTATAGGGTATTTGGGCAGATGGCACTTCAAGAAGATGGAACTATCCACCACCTATAGTGATGAGCTATTGAAGTCAACATGAGCCAAATCTCAGATATCAGTAAAGACCATTTTTCTGGGATAATTAGAAAGGGATTGCCAAACAAAGGGCATGAAGTTGGGCAGTGATCTGGGAGAAGTACCAATGAAAAAAAAATATATAAAATTCAGTAGTGAGAGGACCCAAGAGGCTTAAAAGGGCAACATTGAAAATTTATTTACTTAGTCAAATTACATGCCTAGTGAAAGCCTTAAATGTGTATGTAATTTCATAAAACATGGCCATTATGTTAAAAGAAGAGATGAGGCATTCTGGAAAAAAACCTCTTTTTATTATGTCACAGTCAAGAGCCAGAAATATTTCTCGGACATGCTACACACCATGCGAGTGTTTTTATTAGACCACACTAAAAGAGAAAGCAGATGTTGTATGTAATTCATTTTCCAGAGCCACAAGTAAGGAAAACAGAACTGTTTAGTATGTACTTTTTGTTAGCCAATATGATATGTCAGAGGGAGATATGTCAGTGTATATTCTTTAGACTGAATACTGAAAACTAGTATATATTTACAATTAAAAAGTGAAAACT